GATACGAATCGCCGGACTGAGACGTTTTGACAGGGCCCAGAGTTCAGATATCAAGGAAACACTTGGAGTACAGCCGCTGTTATAAGACAGAATCCCCGGTTATCATGATTTTGTATATACCAGAACATTTTTGTCAGTCCTTCTACTACTGTTTCGCTCTGCTGTCTAGCTTCCGAGAGAGGATGACGACCGCGAGTCAAGTGAATCTGAGGAAGATTCATACATATCTTCCGATAATTATCTCCAAATGGACAAAAGCGTCAATATGCAAATAATTCGAATTAAGATATGTGACATGAAACAATCAAACTCGAATGCCTTTTTACTTGACATTTGTTTTCAAATCGCCTATGGTAATTTGAATATCATCGTCTTCTTCCTCCGAATCAAATTCTGAATGCGAGCCTTCGTTTTCGAGCGGGGTCTAAAAAAACAAATGTCAGACACAAACATGTTATTCAGAAGTAAAGAAATAACAGAGGAGTCGAAAAGCAAGAAAATAAGTTTAGCGTTACATCTGGGCAGTAAACTCTATAGCTGTGTAAAGATTTGCGAAGAACTTACTCCTACAATATCTTCATCACTTACTCCGGGGTCCTCGAGGGCATTTTCGGCAGGCGGTGGGGGAGACACTGATTCAGTATCATTAAGCGTCTCCTCCGGCATCGATTGCTCAGAGGCAGCAGCTGCGGCATTAGACTCCTCAACGACTGCGTCCACCATTCTCGGAGTGACGGCTTCACGGAAGTACAATATGCTGTTGGTCGCAGATCAACATATACAGCTCAGGCTTTGCATGAAAGCCGAAAAAACTAAAAAAGTAATGATTAATTCAATTATATTTCACAACTAAAACGCGAAAGATGAACCGAACCGTATTCCGCCAAAATATAAACTGCCAAAGCTCTCGCGTAAGTATTACAGGTAAAAAACACAGGTGAATTATGCGACAAATTTCATCCTGTTCAAATAACGCAAAGGATGGTAATTTTTCTTACATCATTCATCAGAAGCCGTCTCGTCTGAAATTTATCGTTCTCGAGAAAAAGAGAGAGAGAGAGGGAGAGAGAGATGAGCATGTCCGGCCTACAACCCGGCTGTTAAGAGTTACATGAAGCGTTGAAGTGAAACGACTTATTTAAACGACATCGCGGACAGAGATCAGTGACAAGTGCAGAAATGCCAAGGCGGTTCTGTATTCGTCGAATGTTGGAACGTTCGTTTGTCGTCTAGCAAAGCTAAGATACATTATGTCTGCCGTACACATCATTGGTACTGACTCGATGTACTTACAGTTGTAGAAGCTCGCCACACGGGTTAGTAGGTACTTGACCTAGAGGATGGGTGCTCATTTTGGAGCTTAGGCGACAACGCATTACTCCGAGGCGGTGAGTATGATCTTGTTCCTTAGGATAAGTTGGACAGTCATTTTGGTGGAACAAGTGTTAGAGAGAATCATGGTCTGTCTCGTGAAAATCAAACAGGCGATGTTCAATATCACTGTTGCTTATGCTCCAACAAATGTTCCAACAGCGACTAAGACGCTTTCAATGACTATTTGTAGTCAGTTATCAATGTCTTGTTGCGTCAGGAACGTAACAATTGTCACAAGCGACCTCATCACGAAGGTGCGCGCCAAATAAAATATAAGACCCGGGCGCACTCGATCATCGTGACAACGGCGGCAGGCGTTTAATATATTTCTGGGCGACAAACACCTTAATCGACGGCGAGACTCATTTTCCTCATAAGCGTATTCACCAAACCACCTGGACGTCCTTCCTTGAAAGCTTAAACACCTACCAACTGCAAACGACAAGTGCAGCTTGTCACTCGAAACTCAGGTCAGATGTGGCGCCTGCAGTGGGTCTGATCACCATTAGCACAGTGGTAAGAGGGGAGCTCCGTCTAAGACTTGCCATGTGGAATCAACGCTGTCTGGTCGAAAGACATCAGCTGTTCGACATCAGGCTAAAATATGACGAAGCGGCGCGGTCGCCCACAAAGAAGCGGTAGAGAGTGATTTTAATGTCGCATCTATTAAACGTCGTTAGGCGATTATCTGGGGAACAGGACAAACTTATGATTCGCTTTATCAAGAAACACTTCAATTTTATCGCCATTGACACAGTGAATATGACAGAGCGATTACCTCCTCCTAAATGTACGACAAACGAAAACAGGATGCTAATATATTAAAATTTGCATCTTAGCAGTTAAAACAAGCGAAACCAGAGATTAGTATAGTTTATTACTAAAGCCATGTAAGTAAAATTGCAAAGTACGATCACTGTTGAAATCAAAATAAACATCACTTGAAGGAACAGATATAAACTGCTCTACCATCGAATACGTTTGTCCTTGTCGTTTTCACAAACATACAGAAATTCACTCACAAGGATTTACTTAATTCCATGATGCCGGTAGGCGGGATCGGCTACCTCGGTACTAGTGGAAGTTTCGTTCTCGTTGTTCATGCTATCACCGGTGGTAACACGCGACTGTTTCTTAGACGAAGACTGGTGCTTGAATGGCTCGTCGCTTTTCCGTTTGCGATTCTGGGGCTCCTCTTCTTTCTTCATAAGCTTTATCGCAATCCCAGCCAGCTGCTGCTGTTGCTCGACGATCAGCGCCTTCACTGGTGGACCAGAAACCGCTGCCTGCTGACGGTGCACCTGTGGGTTCCGACGATCCACAATGCTGTTCACCGACCGCGGAGGAGCGAGCATTGAAATGCCGCTTGTCCTCCTTCTGCTAGCGCTTACCGTTGACACAGAAACGACGACGATAGGTGTGGTGACTGTAAACGAAGTCGACAACGACGAGACGGACGCCAGCGATGATGTCCATGAGACGACTGGCGAGATATCGGTCGTGGGCGTAAACTCTGCGAACGACGCCAACCAAGATGAACTGTTACGTGTAGGAAACGTACCATCTGGCATCGTGCTGAGCAACCTAACAGTCGTTAAGGTTTTTTAACTCATAGATTCAGGGCAGACACATATGCGCAGCAAAAGCCACAAAGAAATGATAACGGTATGCCATGCACGTGTAAAAAATAGCTGCCCGAAACAACAGAATCTGAGCAACTTCTCCAGTAATATGTGCGCAGCAAAAAAATAATGAAAGTCTGAAATCGTTAGGATGTTGGTATCCTTGAACCCCAATTCCCTTGAACCATCTTTAGTAGAGGCTATTATGTGACGAAGATATTTATTTCGCGTTCATCAACCAGAGGTGCTTTAGTTTTGAAGCAACTGTCTTTTATAGCAAGTAGGTTCCGGCTTTCTTCTTATGAAGTGGCACTCACAGAGAGAGAAGGAAAAAACTTAGCCTTCATGATCGTTCACCCAGATTTGGGCACTCTGTTCACTCGGCTGCCATCTTGATCTATTATCTTCTTTGTAGAGTATTCATTTTGAACAAGCGTTCACTGCTCAAGTCAGCTGCGTGAAAATTCTTCGATCTTTGGTCAAATCTTCGCTATTTCCCACAGTTTCTTACTTAACAAAGTCGAGCCAGATCTTCAGCGACCTCTCCTTATCCCCTTGTCTAGTTAAATACCGGGATCACTCAATCGGTAGAGTATCAGACTCAAAACCGAGAGGATCCGGGCTTGAGCTAGATAGGGTTACTCGTCTTCCTTCCTTCAAAGCTTGATGAGCACCATGTGACGACTCCGTCTTTAAAATAACGTACTTAAATAAGATGATGACACTGAAATGGACATCAGCATTACTATTAACTTCATAAAAATACCGGCGCCACAACAGACCAAACCATCAAAGTGTAAGAAAAACCGACATTCATTTAATAATTACATACTTACATTCACATTTTCATTTTTATCTGCTTAAACCACATTCCATGATTTCATATTTCAATCTTTAATCTTCTATTCCCCCCGTAGGTGAACCAAAGGAGAAATATGACAACCAAAGGAGACGTCCCGTAACTTTTTTATTGGAGCTACATCTGATGGGGTTTTGAAAGGTATTCCGAATATGGTACTTCATGCAAATAACAAATATCCTTTACAACATTCGCATTTGTACGGTTTTGGTCTCTGCTGATGAAGCTTCAAAACTTGTACGCGTCAAATTTTGTACAGAAGTGCCAGTCTCATTACTGTTTCATACACTTTTTCGTTTAGTGCCATGGGAATCCTTTTATCGGACATAACGCCGTTTATTTCTTCCACTTTATCAGACCTTTTGCAATCGATTCCTTAATTCGCTGTCGAATTAAAATTGCCTTGCATGACAGAATTAAAATATCTGAACGTCTGAGATTTAGGAAGCAGATAGGTCATCATTTATACCAGTCTGTTACCTCCTTCCTCCTCTCCTGTGGATTCTTTGCCGAAATGCACAGCCATATATTCTGTACTACTCTAACTTATCCGAAGGAAAGTTATCTCAACAACTGCTGCTTATGATTCTAGTTGCACATCAAACAAACTGTCAGTATCAGCGACGCGCGGTGAAAAACCCAGAAAATTATGTATAAAAAATACGTTTATGATGTGAGAATCGGATGAGAAAAGTGACAGAGAACAAATATACGCACTGTGTCCATTACAGCAGCTATGTAACTGCAATTTATTGACAAATTTGACTCG